AGCCATTAAAGAGAAAAAAAGTGGAGGAAAAAGGGTGAAATTTGGACATAGCAGAGAGTGTCATCTAGTGGCAAAAGGAATTATTTGTGAATTATTATTTTTTCTACCTGATTCTCTTAAAGGACTGACACAAAGTAAGTGAAATCGTTATACAATAAAATAGAGCCACTGGAAAGTGAAAGTGGAGCACTGAACTTTGAAACAAAGAAAGAAGCAAGAAGAAACTGTTCTGGGACTCTTTGGTGATTTTGGAATATATACAAATTTTGGATATTGGATTACTTGATGAACTAATTTAAATTAACTGTTGGAAATAACTTTTAAACATTAAATTAAATTAAATTATTGGGCAGAAGTGTTTAAAGATGGCAGAACTTTTTCTGGAATTGAAAATTGAACTAGGAAACATGAAAGAAAAGCTGCAAGAGGAAGGGAAATCATTTAGCTTTGCTCTACATTTTTAGAAATGGCGATCTCAGAATATGAAGAACACCAAGGAGTGCCAGAGGAGAGGAAGAGCTGAATAAAGAAGAGGCCATTTTTTTAAAAAAGTGGAGCAACGAGGGTTAAAGGAAAAAGGGGAAAGAATGGGAATTAAGAATTGGAGATTTGAGGAGGTAATCAAAAAAGGGAATAGTTTGAAATCCAAATAACATATAAGGAAACAGCAGAAAAGAGAATTACAGAAGGAAGCTTTAGAGAGGGAGGGGGATAAAAACTGGAGTAAGAAAAGGAGGGGGAAAATGAAAAGGAAAAAAAAATAAGAAATAGAATCAGGAAACAATGAAATATGGAAATCGAACAAAAATGAAAAGAAATTGTTTATTTAAAAGACACAGAGATAATGGTTAACTATGAATTAAGAGAAAGCATTCTGCAAGGTGATAAGGGATAGTACAAATGTATTAGAACTAACAAACTATTTAGAAAGTAGGAAAATATAGATTATTAAAGTGGAAGATTGAAACTGATATTGTTTGTAACTATAATGCTCGTTAATTGTTAAACTAAATATAGAGATAAATGGAATAAATGTGAAAGAAAGAGAAAATATGATAAATTTATTGGCTATGTTTCATTAACATATGGCATATAATTGAAATGAATTATGAGGATTGTTGTAAAGATTATAAATAGAGATAAATGGAATAAGGTGAAAAAAGAGAAATGATATGTTTATTAATCATACCTAATGAATCAGAGAATACAGCTGAAATTAATTATAAGAATGGTTGTAATGAGATTAATATCAGTTTCTATGATGCATTGAACAGATTAATTTTTCTTTTTGAAATTTGAAATGTATTTGAGGTAATTTAAGGGGAAAATACCATGCGGAATCTGATGGAAAAGCTATATATGTTATGTATTTGTTAAGGAATGATTGTTATAAATGTTTAAGGGGATAATTAAAAGTTGAATGTTTTATGGGATTTAAAAGGGAATTAATTATAAACTATAGGGGTGGCACATTTTAATTGGCAACTGCAGGGGAAATCTTTGTTTTGTAATGTTTGAAATGAGGAGAAAATTTTTGGAAATGATGAAATAAGAACATGCGATAAAATTGTAAACACAACAGATAAAAGTATAAGTATAATTACTATGAAGATGTGAGAATTTGTTAAAGGGAAAAAAAAACAGGTTAAGAAATGAATGGGGAATCTATAAAATAAGCCTGAGGGAAATATTTGAGAAAAATGATAGAGAATACACAAAGTAGTGGTAAGATATGAAATTAAATATGAAAGATGAATATGTAATTGAAACTATGTCTGTATGGAGATGTGAAAACCTCGAATCATGCTGTTCACTAAAAAAAGATGTTTTTTTTCTTTTGTTTTGTGAAAACTGAAATAAAATTTTATTTAAAAAAGAAAAAAGAAAATTCTGAAAACAGAGATAAAAATGAATATAAAACTTTTCCTTCTGGGTCTAGTGGAAAAAGAACTGGAGAAAAAAATTATTAGTATATATGTTGACAGCAGCAAGACTACTTGTCATGCTCCTATCGGAGCCTGAATTTGCAGAGGAGGACAAGTTGGAGCTAGAACCTACAGAGATCGAGGGGCCGGCTTCATTGGCTTCAGAGAAATGTGGGGAAGAACAGGACAAGGCATCCCAGGGTCCCTCAGGATTGGGATGGCTTGTTAGCAGGGAGGAATGAGGGCAGGATGACAGAGAGGGCAAGGGATGGAAATGAGGAGCGATGGAGCTCAGGCGATGAGGACCGCCCCCTTCTGATCCCCGAGCACAGACAGTGGAGAGAAGGTGGGAACAGTGCAGGCCAACCCAATGACTCGGGAGGAGAGCGCCCCACCCCTCTTCACAAGGCACAACTGGGGACTGAGATTTAAGGAGACGCTGTGGGAAGGAGCATTTGTTGGGAACAAACACTGAATTTGTAGTTTGGTATGCCAGTACAGTCATTTGGAGTTTGCAGGACAGCTTGCTTCTTCCTTGCTTCATGGACTCAGTGATTCTCCCTTGCTTCGTGGACTCATTGTTTATTCTTTGCTTTGTGGACTCATTGCTTGTTCCTTGCTTCATGGACTCATTGTTCCTTGCATCATGGACTCATTTCCCTGTTCCCTTACAATACTAGACAATACAGTAGTCAAATTTCTAGATTCTATCATATATCAAGACATCAAAATCAGAAAATATTAGAGATGAAAAGAATATAAAAGGGATGAAAATTAATAAGGAAGAATTTAAATTGCGAGCATTCGCAGATGATCTGGTTTTCATTTTAGAAGATCCACTAGAAACAGCACTAAAACTGACAGAAAAGATAGAGGTATATGGAAAGGAGGCTGATTTGAAAATAAATAAAGACAAAACAAAGATTTTGACAAAGAATATGTTATTAAGACAAAAGGAAGAACTGGCGGATGTTTTGAAAATTCAAGTCACAAATAAGATCAAGTACTTGGGATACATTTGACAGCAAGATCTAGCACACTTAAAGAGAATAACTGTATTAAACCCAAGGAGCAGATAGCGCTAGATTTGGCGAAATGTGAAAACTTACAATTGTCATTAATAGGGAGAATATCAACAATCAAAATGAATATATTACCCAGAATTTTATATTTGTTCCAAACAATTCCAATTAGGTTTGGAAAAGATTATATTGAAGATTTAAATAAAATTGTGTTGAAATATATATGGCAAGGTAAGAAAGCGAGAATAAAACTAAAACTCTTGCAAGATGCTAGAATAAGAGGAGGATTTGGTTTGCCTAATTGGGAGTTGTACTATCAAGCTACAAATTTGATGTGGGTTAAGGAATGGATAACATTAAGAAATACTAGATTGTTGACATTAGAAGGACATGATCTGTTGTTGGGGTGGCATGCCTTCCTATGATATAAAGGAACTAAAACACAGGGGTACTTTAGAAGACATTATATACGGGAGTCTCTGTGGTTAAACTGGGAGAAGATTAAAAGACAATGTTATTTGAAAATTCCAGTCTGGCTATCGACTACTGACGCATTTTCTTATCCTATAAGTTATTAAGAAGTTATTAAGAAAATATTGGAATCTGCTGAAATGATTAGATTGACATTTGAAATCAGAGAACAAGATAAACAATTTTATAAGATTTGGGATTTATTTTATCAATGGTTAGACAATAAAACATTGTAATGAAATATGTAGATTTTTAGAATCTAATGAATATATAAAGATGTATTATTTTTTTCATTACAATATAATTATAGGATAGATTTGGGATGATAATATGAATTGTCATAAAACAAATCAAGTAAAATATGGACTATCTCATAAAACATGAATGAATAATAGTATAGTCAAATGATTGATTAACAATGATATTAATGTATTTAGGAATATTTGATTGACAATATGAGAATATATACAATGTAATTGTAAGTGATGACTATGAAGTGGATGCACAAAACAATTTGTAAACCAACCGACACACTGTATGTATATATGTGGAAGATGGCTTGATGTTTTTATGTTGTGTTTGTCTACGTTTGTCTTAAAAAACAATAAAACTTTTTTCCAAAAAAAGAAAGAAAGAAAGCTCAAACTGCTCAAGGAGTTGCTGATACAGTTCTACAGAGGAAAAATATCTGCACCTCTATAACTGTCTAGTTTGGTTCTGCAATCCAACAAGACAGAAACAGACTTCAGAGGATAATTAAGACTGCAGAAAAAGCAATTTCTACCAATCTGCCTTCCATTGAGGATCTGTATACTGCACAAGTCCAAAAGAGGGCTGTGAAAATATTTACAGACCCCTCACATCCCGGACATAAACTGATTCAACTCCTTCCCTCAAAACGACACTACAGAGCATTACACACCAGAAGAATTAGACACAAGAACATTTTTTTCCCAAACACCATCACTCTGCTAAACAAATAATTCCCTCAATACTGTCCAACTATTTACTAAGTCTGCATTACTATTACTATGAATCTTCTCATCACTCCTATAACCCATCCACTCCCACTTGTGATTGTTTAACTATAACTCTGTTGCTTGTACCCTTACTATTTATATTGACTGTTTCCTAGTATGATTTGATTGCTGATTTGTACCCTATTATATTAAGTGTTGTACCTTATGATTCTTAACAAATGTATCTTTTCTTTTTATGTACACTGAGAGCATATGCACCGAGACAAATTCCTTGTGTGTCTAATTCATTATCATTCATTCATTATCATTATTAGAATTTCAACTGGAATAAATAATGCAAATCAGCTCCTTAATCTTAAACTTTTCTTGTTTTTGATGATACTTCACAGTATATTATATTTTTATGTGTTTATTTATTACATTTTTACACTGCACATCTCCCTTAAATGTTACTTTGGGCAGAGTCCAGTTGATTACAAACTCTCTAATTGTAAAATTCCAATGTTATTTATTAATTAGGCTGTTCTTTTTCATTGATAGGATTGTTGTTCTTTTGTAGACTAAGTTTGATTATAGAACTTGATCTATGTATGCATACTTACATGTAAGCTTGGATGGTAGGTCAATACACCATCGTCCCCAAGAGTAACATATTTCTTCTTCCACTCTTTATTTAATGATTTACCACTTCTCTTTAAAAGCATTCCCTGTTGAAAAAAAAATAGCAAAGCTAAATTAAAACAAATTATTTGTCCACAAATTTCTGAACTATAGAATGACTTGTTTTAAATTAGATTGAAAGAACACGAGCCAGGACCAGCACTAGAATAAATAGTGCCTTGGGAATAGTATTCTTTTGGTTAACCTTTTATTAGTTCAAATGCTGAATCATCTCTGTTAGGTTTAGAGGGAACCTTGGACTTGTTTCGAAGGCTCTGAGATTCTAGCTGATGTTTAAGGCACCAATGGCCTTGAATCAGTTTTCACTAATGCAGTCTGCCTGCTACCAGAAAAACTCCCCAATTTATGGAGGAAGATGAAGCAACTTAGAATGCTACTTCTACTTTGTAGTCAATTTTTTTCCCTCTTATCTTGTCAGTAGATAGATGGCTAGTGACCCTTGTTCAAAGTGAGCAGACCCTCTAACTAAAGAGGGGCCAGAGAAACATCCATAATACTTTTGAGAAATCAATTTAACACATCTATTAGATTTATTCTCAATTAAAATTTGTTCCTGTATAACTGAATGAGATAGATCTATTTGGGTTACCTAGGAAGAGTTTGACCTGTTGCTCCTGAGGAAACAGATAGGGCCTTTGGAGTTATAAGTGCAGAATTTGTCAGTCTTTAGTTTCCACATGAAGAGTAAATGGCAGTTATGACATTTTATGCACCAGTTATGTCCATTCTTGAATCAGGAGCCTAAGGCATGGTCATTCATGTTCTAAATGGGTTTGTTCATTAAGGTCACTCAGAAGTTGCAACTAGTCTAGAATGCAGTGATTGGGCATGGTATGATCAGGTAACACTACTACTTTATGAGACTCCCGGGAGGTTTCTAGAAGAGTACTATTTACGATCTATAAAGCTCTTCATAGTTCAGGTTATTTGTAAGAGTGTCTGTCTTCTGCCCATCCCTCAAGATCTGACAATCTGGAGCATGTGCTAATCTTTCTATCAAACAACTCCACCTGATGGGACCAGAAGGCATTGTCTGTCATGATATCTACCCTTTGGAACAGCATAACTTACCACTTACCCCAAGGTTCAGATAGCCTTCTACAAAGTGTTGAAAACCTGACTCTTCCACCAGGCATTGGACTAGGGTGTTACATATATAATGGTTTAGGGCAAGGGTCTTCAAACTTGGCTAGTTTAAGACTTGTGAACTTCAATTCCCAGAATTCCTGAGCTAACATGACTGGAGGAGTAATTTTGGGAGTTGGTCCACAAATCTTAAAGCTGTCCAGTTTGAAGACCCCGGGTTTAGGATAATGATTATAGTTGGCACCAGTTAATTATTGTTTTTATTTTTATTCTGGTTGTTTTTTAACGATAGATATCTAGTGACATCTTTTGTGAATTGGGCAATCTTTAAACGGATTAAGTAAATAAAACTCAAGTAGGGAATATAAATTAGATTTTTAAAGATTTTTTTAAAAGAAACAAGCTGAAATTTGGTACACAGTTGCAGTAGGGTCCTCTGAGGCACATATTAAAAATCCTATTAAGCAAAAGCAGCCATTTTTGATATACAAAAATAACTATCCTACTAAGTAAGATTCTGTATCAAATAGAAGGAATATTCTGGTGTGCCATTGTTCATCTATTTGCTAAGATTATGTATACTATCAAAACCTGACTATTACAATGGTTGATAAATATTGAAAATGAAATCTATACCAAGTTTTTAATGTCCACAATCAAAATGACAATTTATAATAGATGAAATCCAATGCACTGAAATTCTCACACTGAAATGTTATTCAGTTTTACACAATCTAATTTTAATTCATTTTTTAATCCACTCCTAATATATAGAGTAAGACTACCAAATAATATTTAACAAATCTTAACTTTACAGTGTGTATGAGCACATTTACAGGCAATCAACATTTATACAACTTTTGGAAAGGAAAGAGGATTGGAATATCATGACTTTATCCTTTCCTGAGTATCAATGCATATTGATGTGCTTTTTTTCTTCTAAATAACACTATAGGAACAATTTTTTCTACATAGTGATGTTAACTGTAACATTGACATATTTCTTTAAATATTATTCATCAAAACCTTATAGCGCTATACAAAAAATAACTGTCATCGTGATATAAACGTACATGAACGCAAAGACTATTTATATTGTATTATTTGTGCTAGGATGTCATTTATATGTCATCAAAAATTGTGATTGTATTAATTTGCATACAGAATGAAAAATGTTTCAATACACAATACAGCTTTTAAGCCAGATAAAAAATATGTGGTGTGATTCAAATAATTTAACAACCGGTTCTCTGACCTAATGACCGGCTGCATGGGCATGGCTGGGTGGATGTGGCCAGGGTGTGTGAGCAAGAGGTGTGAACTACACAGAAATACACTTTTGTTTGATTATGGAGAAATATCCCCAAAGTCAGATGTACACTAAATGAAGACTGACGTTTAGCTACACACCTTCCAAGCAAACAGCAAATTTTGAAGCTCCAGGAAAAGAGGATTCATTTTAAGATGAGTAACCACAGTTTGCATGTTGGAGGTTCCTAAAGGAATGCTGGGAAACTCTGTATTTTAAAGAACATTTGAGGGAGGGGTACAGAATAGCCCTTCTCTGCCTGAGGCTGTAGAGACCTGGCACCAATCAAAACACTGTTTGTGAAGTAACTGATCAACACTAACAGGGTAAGCCACTAGTATATGAAAATAAGAGCAAACTCCACTCCCTTTTAGTACTGATGATGTTACCTAGTTTGGTAATGAAACATCTGCAAGAAAACCATTAAGCTCAGAGAGCACCAAGGACCCCACAGTTCAACACTGAGCTACAAATATTCTCTTCTATTGATAAACACGTTTTGGTTAGAGGGACTCAGAGCCTGTGTTATATGAGATGGCTCCCAGTGGACTTCATTCTAAAGTTTGATATGATTTCTGTAAATAAGGAATGTAGAATTATAATGGCTGAGTATTTGATCCTTCACACATCAAAAAAATACAAAGCTAAGAGATAAACAAATAAAAAACAGATTTGCAAAAAGAAAAGGCTTAGGAAAGAAAAAGAGTGAAAGTGTAAGAAAGAAAGAAAAGAAGGAAAACTGAAAAAGAATGACTTCCAACTTTCTTTGATACAGATGTAAGTAAAAAAATACCATACTCTTACTCTAAGATTAACATTTATCAACATTATTTCCATAATCCCATATCTAATCATCAAAGCCCAGATCAACTTTTAATTTCAGTTTCTCACAAAAAGTCCAGTAATGGTTCATATCGCTTTAATCACTATTTGTTAAGTAAACCACAACTGATTTATTTAAGTGCACCAAACTCTAAATAAAATATGAATGGAAAATCCTAAACTCTAGTGTAGACCTATGCTTCTCAATGTTGGCAACTTTAAGGTGCATGGACTTCAATTCCCAGAATTCCGCAGGCAGCATGAAGTTCGCCCATCTTAAATTTGCCAAGACTGAAAAACGCAACTGAAAATTTACAGATAGGGATTTTTCCATCCCTCTTTTGCTGATTCTTACTTACTTATGAGCAATCATAATGCAAATCCTCACTTCCACCCCGTCCCAGAATAACCACAATTCCCTCACTAACCTGTTTTCCAGTTCCATTCTCCTGCGTGCAGGGCAACAAAAGAAGACCATGTGACTACCAGTTTTCAAAAAGTCCAGTCAGATCTTCCAATATTTCGGGGGGGGGGGGGGGAGATCTCATGAAATTGGAAGTTTTGAACTTATTTGATTCCTCACTTGGTGCAGAATTCCAATTGATGTCAGGGTAATTGAAGTCCCCCATAACTATTGTAGTGTGTTTCCTACATATATTTGTTAATTGGTTAGCAAAAGGGACATCTATTTTTTTCTGCTTGATTGGGTGGCCTATATTTTACACCAAAGGCCCTGTCATTCTTTTTGTCTTTTATATTGACCCATATGCATTTCTGTAGCAATGTAGTGGTCCTTTACATACAGCGCAACTCCACCTCCTCTTTTATGGGATCTGTTTTGTTTTTTTTAAGAGTTTGTATCCTTCTATCAGTATGTTCCAGTCATGGGTTACATCCCACCAAGTTTCTGTTATTCCAACTATATCATATCATGTATTCATGTATTAATAATTCAAGTTCACCTTGTTTGTTTCCCAGACTTTGTGCATTTGTATATAGGCACTTGAGATCTTTATGTCTGACTTTGGGTATGCTTCCTATGTCTCCTATTATTTGGTATTTGAGTTTGTCCTCCTTCCCATCCTTCCTTACTTCATTATTTGAGTTGTTTTCTAGGGTTTTTTGCTTGGAATTAGGTTCTGGAGATTGTAAAGATTGGTCACCCTCCCTACTCAATATTAGTTTAAAGCCCTCCTGATAAGTTGAGCCAATTGTTTTCCAAAAACATTCTTCCCAGGCTTTGGGAGGTGCAGTACATCCCTTGTCAAAAGCCCATCATGGAGAATCCAAAGGTTTTTTTGGTGATACCAACCCTTTAGCCAGTAGTTCGCTTCTAGAATCCTTTGTTCTCTTACCGGATGTTGTCCTTTCGTTGACAGTGCAGATGAAGAAAACTACCTGTGCACCTAGTTCTTGAGTTTCTTGCCTAGCTGCTTGTAATCACTCAATATTGTTTTCAAGTCCTTTTTTGTGTCATTCGTCCCTACATGTAGTAGTAGAAATCTGTGGGACTAATTATTTTGGTTAGGTTCTCAGTCACATCCTTGATTTTTGCTCCAGGGAGACAACATACCTCCCTGGATTGTATGTCCGGTCTACAGATGGCTGGTTCTGTTTCTTTGAGAATAGAATCTCCTATCATCTTTTTAAGGGGGTACAGTCTGGGATACTTTTCTGTTTATCCCAGGTGAGTGTGTTGATGTCACTTTTTTTTAGGGATATTGGATGATGTCTCTTTTCTAAGTGTTTGCATGTTTTCTTACAGGGGGAGGTTGTGGATCTGAGTATTTTCAACAAGGGGAGCAACTG